TCTGACATTTCAATTTCTTTGGACTCAGTTGAAACTACGGCGATATTGTCGGTTCTGTTAGATGGACAAGCGATGTTGTAAATTTCTGATTTGTAGAAGACAAAACCGTCCGTCTTTTTTGGTAACTAACACCGTGTCACATTATAGAGGATGATTGTGAATTAAGTTTGGAACGTTATGCTTCGCAAGCCAGACGACTAACTTTATCGTACCATTAAATTTTGCATTTTTGTTAACATGTTACGCAGAAAGAACGAATCATTGAAATGGTTTGTATATCTCGTAATTCAACCATACTGCTAGTAATCAAATTTATCAAAGCGAACAAATAGAACAGTTGTACTGGATTTGGCTGAAATAAATGTCTGCAGTAAGCAACATGCGATTCAGACTATGCATTCATTCAAACATCGGTTGAATTTGTGGTCACGCCAAATCCTCGGAATTCAGAACAAGTTGAAATTTCAAAATAATGTTTCCACGGTGCACCTCCCTTTCTCAAAATTCATTTCTTGCATACCAACCAACAACCAATAATGTTATTGTTCTGATAAATGAAATGGTCCTTTTTTTCAAATTCATATATGAATTCCTACATGTCTTCTACCAAGCAGCATGGTAATTTCACTTGCCTTCTCCGGAAGCATCAGGTGTATCTGGGAGTCGTGACCAAAAGTGGAGAACCATAGGTTCATGTGAGATTAAGCATGCTTTATTGACTGAACGTAAGGTGTAAAAAGTGTACAAATAAATCTTGACATGTCACATTGCTTTGTCGTAGTCATCTGTCAATATGCTTCGACGATTGCTGACTGGATCTCGGACAAATCGGTGATTAGCAAAATGTAGACGGCGTCAAATTCGAAGACCTGCTGCTCCTTGCACATCATTAATGCCAGTTTTGATGACGTGAAGATGTAAGCATTTGTCAAAATGAATTAGATCTCGGCCTATTTGCTGGCGATAGATACTGTTTGTCAGCATGAACCTATATTTAAGAAATTTCGTTGGTCAGGTGACCTTTTGTAAATTGCGTTAACCTGAAACGGCAGATATGCATGAGTAATGACTAAGCTTCTCTTCCGTGCTCCACATAATTAGTTTCTTTATTTTGTGTTTATAACAACAAAACTGTCACAACCAGTAAAGAGATGACTGCCCATTCGTAAGGCGTGTGCAAATGCACAAATCTACTGAAAGTTTAGAGGCGTCAAGCTTGGCATCGTATATATTTACATCCCATAGTTCCATTCACCCAGTTTGTGGATATACGTGAGCACCTGCCTGCACATTGCATCGACAAGCCTACATTTTCGTGTATCCGTCTTGTCAAATCTCATAAGTCAACGCGTGATGCTTCGATTGTGCGTCAATCGTGTGCAGCAATATCTATCAACTAGATTTCCTGACCCTCACTTACAGTCCCATGGCTTAAATCAAAAATTTTTCGTTTGTCAATTCATGTTCATTGTTTTGGAGTCCTTATTGAGACAACAGATTTGGCATTTGCACATGCCAAAAAAGCACAAAAAATAAGCTTAGATACTTTAGCTGAATATTTCAAAATAACACTGTATGATTGTGGAATAATTGATACTAGATGATGTCAAAAATATAGTTTTAAATTTCGATGACTGAGGAGAATAAAGAAATCAGTTTTAATAATGAGAATATTTAGCTGCAATAAATTATCCATCATAATCATTCACAGCGACTTCAACACAAAGTGCATATGTCTACAAAACTTGTCAATTGGGTTATTTTTTTCATTTTACTTCATTTTAACTGTCAATGGCATAACTTTCACCACAATTTGAACCTACGTATATATCGTGGGTCGATTAAATCATATATTCAATTATGGCATTTAAAGCAGTATAACAGGTCATGGGTCATGTAATTTTTTGCATTAAATCCTTTGTTGTTTTTGCTATAGCAAATACTGTTGACATCAGTTGATTCAGTGTCGTAAAGTCGACTTTATCCAAGCCCGTACTCCATTTTCGTCTCGGTGTTGCGAACAGGGCTGAAAACACAGCACTAATACCACAAAAAATTTACATATCTATAATAAAGACATGACTAAAATAAGCAAAACTTTGACGGATGGTCAATCCATTTGCTGTCGACTGTAAATTTGCCTCTATCTATCGATGTTGGTGAACTTCGGCGACAACTAAATTGATTCGATTTAATTTCATAAACACATGTTATTAAAAATATTTTTTTGATGTTTAAAATTTAATTTGCCTTTAAATGGTGGCTAGTTTAAAATTAGTGTTGCATCTCTAGTGGTGGTGCGACGCCCTTACGTTGTTTTAATGCATCACTGCATTTCTTTAGGTCAATTTGTTTACTTGTTCACTATACGAACTGGCCGCCCGACGAAACAGGTGGAGTAGCAGAAGGTTGCTATCACACAAGGTGGGTTGCACCTTTATTAAATTTTCTTATTTTATATGTGAGCTAATGCGATTAATGTGCCTTATTTTGCAATTTACATGCATTTATATTGCGCCAACAGATAGCATGCGGATTGCAGTCATCACGCATTTTGACAATAATTATTAGTTGGAAAAAGAAGATTTGGTTGGCCTGTTATGCCTGCATATTTGCGTTGCATATCGCTATATTTAATGATTTATTGACTTGTAATTACGTAAAAGGAACTCATCACACAGACGACCCAACATTGACATTTTTCTGTATAAATCCGACAAGACGAAAAACAGAACTGATCAAGGTGTTGATATGTTGGTAAGTTTATGTCATTGTGCGATGCTTTGACTTGTAGTTAATACCGTTCATATATTTGTCGAAAATTAGGGAATAACTATTAGCATACCGCTAGTCCAACCGCCGGTCAACTGCACAAGCGTTGACGCCTGCGAATCCGGACAGATTGTTGTAAGGAATTGAGTGACCCTTAAAATCACTGTTTTTGATCAACTGTTTTATTTGCTAGTCTTGTCACCAGAAGGTACTCGGCGTTGTCAACTTAAAGTGCCTTATTTGTCCATCCCTGCTTGCAATGTTTAACCTTAATAACGCTGTCAACGAGACGATTTGCTTGCAGTCATTTTAATGATTCCTTTAAACCAAATGCATCTGGTCTAGTAATTTAATTTTCATTAGGCTGGATGCTTGGTTCATGTTGAAGAAAACCAGAATTGTGTTTCGACGGTTAGGATGCAAGATTTGTTTCAAAATTTTATCATATCCACTCTTTGCATCCACGATTTAATTGTTCGCAGCGTATGACTAGGAATTTTGATGCAGGATAAAAAAAATAACAACTTCGATTTTAGGGCTGTCCACGAATCTTCACGATTGTCTACACAACACGAATAACTAGACAACCCCTGTACTGCATTTGATTTCATCAAGTCTCAAATTCGGTATGTTATGTGGCGATCGTGATTTTAAAAATATCTTAACACATTGGCGTCTCATTTTATAATGATCTAATTTCGAATATCTGTTTTTTGTTAGCGATGTTTGTTTGTCTAAACACGAGAGCAGGCGAATTTGTAATGTGAATCAAAAAAGACCATCAGCAGTCAGTCATGCATAGATTGATAGATAGGTTAACTCCAAAGGCATGTGATCGTTTTAACGAGAGTGGTCGTTTCAACAAAGACACCTAGGGTAGACTAATTCAGTGCGTCTATTCTGAAGCGCGCCAGCTGTGAATAAGGACGACAATGTGGCAAAATAAACAAAATTGCTTCAAAATGTTGTTTATGCCGGCCTCGAATATCCCCAGATTTAAATATTTTAAAGGAATTTATTTAAGACCTTGGCAATTCCAAACCTAATTAATTTCTGCGTCAAAGGGAAGTTGTAGGCTTTTATCCGAAAAAAATTGTTCCCATTTAAGTGGCAAATGTTCTATCCAACTTTGATACTGCAGTGGTATTGCATCTAAACTAAAACTTCTAAGGACCTTAAACATTCCCGCTTGTAACAGTAATGTATTTTTGTGTTAGTTATCTATGGTTAGTTATGACCCTTCTAATCACCACCGCTCCACCTACCAATTAACGTGTTTTTTCCTTTCAAAGTAACCGGTTGTAAACCGACCTCCTGTAGTAGCAAGTATTGATGGAGGTGGGGATATTACTGTATGGCTCTGTTTATTGCATGGCTTTAACGTTGAAGCAAATGGCTTACCAAATATGCAGTGACTCTCACGAAGCTAGTGTCCACAGGCCTGCGTAAAAATGCTATTCGTATATCTGTGGCAGGCCCATGGGTCGACATCCATGTTGGAATATATGTCTACAAGAAAGGGATAGTCTTGAGAATGTTCTACCAAGAAATGTAAACTCAGTGTAGTTGTAGATCACTCTAACCGCCAACCAAACGTGCAAAGACAGCCCGATGAGCAGTTGTGTTGCCTGGTGTTATGGAGTCGGATCTGTCTGAGATGCTTTGCTGAAAAGCCAAGACTGAATTTAACCAGACGTTTTTGAATTATGCCCCCCTCCGGAGCTATTTCGTATAGTATGCAATAGCCTGTGCTCTTCAGCCGGTGACAACTGGATCCTTAGCATATTCATAACCATTTCAACGATATCTGTTAGGCGTGATTGAAATATTTTGAGTAGGACCTTAGGATCGGAAGTGTGCCTGTCAGCGTACACTCATACTATTTTAGCATATTTCCAGGCGCATTAAAAGAACTAGACGGTATGGGTCATTAGTAAATAAGAGCACACCTCTACGTTTGCAGACAGGAGATACTAATTGGGACTTTAGGCATATCCACAGTAATCCATGTGGTGGTGCTTCGCGGCGATGTCTTCCCGGCGATGTGACATGACAAATGCTGCACCCAGACCAAGAATAGGTTTAGTGTGTTGACCCAGAAGTGCCTTATTGCCCCCGCACACAACGTAACACCCAGGTGTGGTTTTTAACTACCTGCTGCTGTGGATGCAGGTTTTTAACTCAGTAGCCTTCTCTGCTTCAGGGCTCTTCGAACAGCCAATTTAAAAATGGATGATCAAGAGAATAAAGATCAAAACAGCCTTCCAGGCCAACAGTCGACGGCTGGCAGCAACAGTGATCAGCCCAACTCAGTGACGGATTTTAGCATGCTGTCACCCGAAGCGCAGGCGCTTGCAAATCAATATAGTGAAGAATTTCAGTTAATTTTGGAGACCTATGGAGCAGAATTCATAGAAACCAATATGCCTACATTTCTGGGCGTTTTGAAGAAATTAGATGAAGTCTTTGGAATGTATTCGGATTTGAAGACAAGGAATGCAAAAGAAACTGATGATGAGGCCTCTCACTAGAGGTCCTGAATAATAATAACGTGTACGGGAAGGGCTTACTTAACTCTGCTTTATACCTACGTACTTCACGCATTTTGCATTCCCTAGATTCACATTTTCGTCAATAAATCGTATTTTTTTTATGTTCTAATCTAAGTTCTTCACATTAGAATTCGTCATTGAGAGGTTTGATGAACACGTGATGGTTAAGTTGGATGAGGAAATGACGGTGCCTTGATATAGTCAGAATGGAAACAAAAAGGATATGATACCACTAATAATTGCAGGCAACACTATAAATATTATGCCTACCTTGAATTAGCTACCTTTGTAAATGTTTTGATTTGCAGACGACAAGACTTGGCGCAAATTTGTCTGCAATGTGTTGCGAAATCTAGTACTCTTTGAAGAGAACTGTGGAATTTCATGTTGTAAATTTATCACAAACACAAATGTGACAGCATCTAATTTTGACGACAATAGGAAATGAATGACCTAAGTAAGCGGTGAAAGCCCACGTGGCTAAGTCTCGGGCATCGACGTGTGGCAAGACATTGAGTATTCCTCGTACTTCCAGCCAGTATTAAACCGAGCAAGATGGTTATCCGAATGGTAGATCTGGCGTAGACGCACGAGCCCTCTCAAACTGTTGATATCGTGGTTGATGCACCGGGCAAGTAGTAATGCTGGGTGTAAACGATTGCAAAAATTGTTCTGGAATAATTCGACCTTGGCTTTTGCTGTAGCAGGACACCTTAGTGGAAAGACATTACTGCTATTCAAAGCATTCGTTCGTATTTTACTGTGAGTGTTGGTGTAAGTTCCTTTACCCTGTTATCTGCTCATACCAACAAAAATTATGCTTGCCTAAACCAAATTCAGGATAGTTCCGTAGACACAGCCTCTGGAATCGAATTAAATGGTAGCTTTGAAATCGCCGATGAAAAGCCATTTACCTGATGCTTTCGGAATGAGTTTATACTACATTAACAACTCTTAACCATTTGCAATTGGCACGACCCCTTAAACGCCGAAATTTATACCTCTTGCTAGCTCCAAATAAGTAGCTTGATTTGTTTAAATTTTTATGTTCTCTACCGCAGCACCTAAACTGCAATTTATTTATCAGGTATTAGGCAAAAGCACTCCACGTAAGTCCTTCCAGTAATGTTTGAAGAATCATCGGCCAGATTTAAACAAATATTATGTCAAATCTCACGCAGTAAAAATTTTCCTCAAAGCAGTGTAACCCTAGTGTGGGGCGATGTTACTCCGTTTATGATGAACTTTAATGAAGTTGTGCGTTGTCTAATGTTACAGTATTATTTGTCCATTCACTAGCGGCATTTATGTAAACGGTGTCATAGCAAGGCGAGTGTTGAAGTGCACAGATTGAAGGATACAAGTGACAAGCAAAACAATGACACAAGACACTTCGTTTGGCGTTGAAAATGTGTCTGCTGCTAGGAATTGCCCACATGAAGTCGAATATCTGATTACGGGTGACGCAAAAGCGAAGAAACTGAGGCTCACAAAGGAAGGAATGTGCGAATAAGGCGGGAGACTTGTGAAGCATAATGTAAAACAAACGCAGCAGTTGGAGCAGGCCTGCTTTTGGTAAGTAGAGGAGGTAGACACATTCAGGTCCTTAGGAGCTGGCTTTGCAGAACGCGTGTCCATGTAGAATTGCTCATCGACAACCCTAATTGTGATTCAACTGTTGACATGCTTGATACGCAAAACAATGCAGATGCACACTGATTCACTCGCATTCTTCTAGTGGTGCGAAGGAGAGTTAGCCTAGACCGTCAACGTCCGATAAATTTGCGCTGTTTGTCTGTTTGGTTCTGTGGTCAGGTGCGTGATTCCAGTAACGTCAGTTTCGTTATATTGGCGTTTTTAACACTAGCTAGGGTTTTCGAAAAGATATCAATGTTAACTAACTTCTGAGACGAGGAGAGGAGAATGGCAACATCACCACCAGCACACACAGGAGGATCAAAGGCTGCCTAACTAAAGTAGCCGTTAATTAGAGGTTTCATTGTATGTCTCTTTTATTCCTACCTGGTTTTGTGATCCCGACAGCATACCTTACTTCAGTCACAAAGACTGTAGCGTTGTTTTAACTTGTGCTGACACCATCATTTTGGATTCTGCTATCTGTGCCGTCTACCATCTAAATGCTCTCTCTATTACTCAGCAAAGCTGCTTTCTGGCATCACCGCTGTCCACTTGAATTATTTTTAATCTTGTTCCTATCTAATTTTGACACTTTTGCAGAGGTAAATTGGATCCGGTTAGATGAGGGAAATTGAAAAGTCATATCTGGAAGAAATTGCATGCTAAGCGGACGAGATAGTTATTCTAGAACACAATTACGCAATTCGATTCTCCGTGAGAGGGTTATTTGTCATCTAAACAACCTGCAACAAACCAGTTTTTATTGTGTCATATTGAATGGTTGTTTATTTATATTTGTACCTTTTAATCATTATGGATGCCACCACAAAACAAACGATTATCGGAGCCTCTTATTTGACATATTGTCGAATCGCACTTACTCCACGATGAATACGTCGATTTTGCTTCTGCGTCGTGACAATTTCAAGTGAGACACAAGTTCATGCAAGATGAAGTTTGATTTATTGAACCATCGCAAGGCGTAAAAGGACG